TGGGGTGGGAATGGAAATTTTACAGTATCCTTCCTTTGGAGTGGGGTGGGAATGGATGTTTTGCAATATCCTTCCCCTGCCATGCCCACCAAGCCATGCGATGCCCCGTCCACCAAGCCACATCCACAGAACCAGTAGTAAAAATTTTTGAATCCCACCACTGATGTGCATGTGTGAGCAGGAACAGGACACTGTTACCCCAAACATTTTAATTCCTTGGGTTGGCCTTGTTATGTCAGAACAGTCTCATTATATTAACTCCTACTGTGAGCCTTCTCTTTCTCTAGGTAATTGTAATGACATAATGGTTACACTGGAATATTAGGATTCTTTGTTTCCCTAAAATTTCAGTTCTATAATTAAACCACATTTAAAAAAAACACAGCAGACAGCTTTATCTACAGATACGAAAGAGAAAAATGGCAAAAATACTTACAATGCGAACAAGCCAGGCTAATGTACAGGTAGATGTAGAATAATGAGTGTTATAATGATAAGGTGGAGTTTGATCATTTTCCCATGTCTCATAGCGTTCTGCATAAAATACTGCTCTCTTTGGGTTTAAAGCACCAATGGGCTGTAAAGAGAATAGATAAATAAGCTTTATAAACCTGCATTCAATTTTTCTTCTACATTCTTTAATATTCACAGTATATGACATTCAACAGCCAAAAACTGATAACTCATTCTATTTTACTGTAATATGGTTGGACTGCTTGGGATGGAATGGGAATTTGATGTGAGAAGCTTGAATTACTAAACACGCTATTTCTTCTGTGTGATACATCTACAAATGTCATGATCATTTCAAAGGGAAAAAAAGCAGGAGAGATATGGTAGCATCTTTTCAAACTAACATGTTTTATTAAAGACTATAGCTCACTTCATGGGTAGCTAAATTCATGAAGGATTTAAACAGGAATAAGAGATAGAGATAGGTAGATAGGGATGTAGGTAGGTAGGTAATGAGGTAGGGAGAGAAAGAGAGAGATAATAGGAAGATAGCAATTTTGCAGATACAAGTTACATGTGAGACACAAAAGTATATTTTCAATTCATACTTGTTTTCTGAGACTTTGCTCAACTGTGCTGATTAAGTTTCCTTGTTTGAAAACACTTATTCTGAAATCTATAACAGAGTATCCTTGGAAGTTAAATTATCCTGTTGGTCCTTGTTTTGTTATGTAAATTTTGTATCCATTCATTCTTTTGACCTATGTTTTTCCATTATTTGTCCTACATAGAATCCCTGAGTGTTTGGCACAGAAGGGAACTTGAAGGTCTTTTAGTTCTATCCCCTGCCCAAGCAGGAAACCTTATACCATTCCAGACTAATGTCTGTTCAATCTCTTCTTAAAAACCTCCAATATTGGATGCTTACAACTTTTGAAAGTAAGCTATTCCACTGATTAATTGTTCTCATTGCCATGAAATTTCTCCTTCATTCTAGGTTGGATTTCTCTTTGATAATTTCCCATCGGTTACTTTTCGTCTTGCCCTCAAAGCTTTTGAAAAGCTTTGTTACAGCTTTTCAAATATTGGAAAACTGCTAGTCCTTCTCTTCATTAGACTAGACATACCAAATTGATGCAACTGTTCATCATAAGCCTTGAGCCCCATAATCTTCTTTGTTGCTCTTCTTTGCACTCTTTCCAGTGTCTCAACAATTTTTTGTATCATGGTGACCAGAACTGGACATATAGACTGGCTTCTATTAATATCTTTACTTATGTCTAATTGTTCATAGATCTGTTGCTTGATTATCTTTTCCAGGATCTTCCCAGGTTCTGTTAGGGTAACTAATCTGCAGTTTCCTGCAACCATTTATTTCCTTTTTTGAAGATGGGAACCACATCAGCTTTTTTCAGACAGATCATGGTCCATACCATAATGGGGGAAGAGCATGTAAAGGCATCTCCAATTTTCTGTGTGGTAGTGCTAATGATGTAAATGTGGATGCAAAGTAAACATTTGAGTTTTTTACAGGGCATGATTCTATGTTAGCATCACTTTTCAGTTGTTGCTTGCTATGTGTGAAAATCTTGTTGGATCTGTATTTTAGTATTGATCTGTCACTTAGTGCTAAGAAACTGAAGTATCATTATCTAGTATGTTTACTAAAGTGTTTGTTTGGCCCATCCTCTCTCAGCCCAAGTCACCTCACAGAGTTGTTGTGAGGAAAACATACAGAGGAAGGAGTATTAGATAAGTTTACCATCTCCAGTTGTTTATAAAAAATAAAGACAGGCTATAAACAAAGCAACATTCTTTAGAAAGGAAAAATTGAACAGATCCTCCTCTTTTTTGGCCTATTTAGTATATTGAAAATGGTTTTTTTAAGTTTTCTTATACTAATTGGTTCTCTTAATATGCTGTGAATAGTGAACACTGATATATTATGAAAGCTTGTAGCAGTACACTAAAGAAAACACAGAAAAATGTGTCCTTTTGTCTTATATTCTAGGAAATACTAATAACCTTATCAAACTCTTTTGATGCTTTCATAGTATATCCACAATTTTATCAGAAGAGAAACTTCTGATTTCCTGTGGAAATTGATAATTTGCCTCAACTTATTGATTGATTTATTTTAACTATCATTGAATGACAAGTTCAATTTTTCTCGTATATCAGGGAAACAGACAATACATATTTTAATGGAATTTCCAATTATTAATTTATATGTACATATGCACATTTCAAAGGACTTTACATTTTCCATAAAATAAATCAAATAACTGTTGAACCAAATCACTTAACATTGTTCTTTAATTTCCACCCCATTGAACCCACCCACACCAGTATTTTATTCAATTATTACTTTAACCTAGATAATTTAGAACCTGCTCCAAAATCAATTTACCCCATTCAGTCCAGTCATCCCCATCATTATTGCTCCTAAATCATATTAAATTCGTAATCAATTGGGTCTCCAATGCTGTTCCTTTTTGAATGGTGGATTTCATATTATGAGACAAGGAAACCAGATGGGGAGATTTGTGGCTGACCTGATTTTCTCTTCTGTTTCTTCTTTATTAAGCCATTCAAAAGTAATCCACTGAAAGAAATGAGCTGAGCAATCTATTCCACAGTGCAAATTTTAACTTCAAAAATGATGTCATTTTTATTTCCTATAAAGGGACACTACATGGAAAAATGACTGGCAGTGACCCATTTTGGTACTATTTATCTTCTAAATGAAATATTAGTGAGATAACTTCTCTCTACTCATAAACATTTGAGATTTTAGTTAATATTGTACAGCAGAAATCTCAGCTTAGCTCAGTGCATTTCTTTGTATAGATAATACTAATATAATAAATATTTTTTTTAAATAAAAACTTTTTAAAGAATTTAAGCTACAATAAATTTTAGGAATATATGTATTAGTTAACCCAAAATTAAATGTTAAAATAAATATGACAATAATGTTATGGTCATACATTCATTGTTTTATTCCACAACCTAACAAATTATTCATTATGTTTATTTAAAAGATACATCTAGAAAGACTCTTCATAAATATAACTACTATAACTTTTAAGTATACTACAACTTAAGTTACTATAAATCTAATCAAAATAATGCATAGAAGATACTGATTACACATTTTGGATACACTGAATTAGTTCTAGGTTGCTAATAAATGTTTAGTAAATATGAAACAATCTATATTTGTTTCAGATTCTTTAAACAAAACAAAACAAAAATGTATTTTACATGTTCTGTCTTGCAGTTAATTTTAGTTTTAAGTTAATATACCAGGATTTTGGTTTCCCTAAAAATTCTGATTGTTTAATACTTTGCTGTGTTAAGGGTATGCTAATAGCTTTCTCATGTGTGCAAAATATTTTAGTAATCCCTTAGGATCAAGCTTATCTGATGCAGATTGCACTGCAAGACCTCACTAAACATTCTTGAAAGGAAAGCATGACCCATTTCTTAATCTTTTCCAGGCATTTTCCAACTACTGGAAGAACAATAAAATAAATATTTACATTTTTATTTTATTCAGGTTTCAGAGGCTACCCAATCTTTTTTAGTTTTCTTTGGTTCATTATTTTGTACAACAAAAGTAATCCTTGGAATATAAATTATTCCTTTAGTATTAGTTAATAGTTAAATCATCATTTCTCTACTGCTTTGCCTTCTTGATTATTCAACAAGATACAGCCTAGCCTTGAACTGATGTAATAGGATTTGGTAAATTTCATGCAGCAAAGGTTGATGCAACATTTGATACAATTGCCAGAATAGCTGTTGAGGTTACAATAATAGGGCCTAACATTTTATTTTAAGTATGTTTGAGATCAGACTTGACAGGAAAGGAATGTTGTATGGTAATCATAGCAGGGATTGGAATTGGGAGTTTTACTTCAGTTGTTACTGGCACATAATCCTTCTTTTCTCTTTCATGACCCCTAAAATAGAAATAAGTACTTACTATGCGATGGTTTTGCCTGCTGCTTTTAATTGCTGCTTTTACTGTGATGCATTTTCTTGGCATGACTATTTTTATATATTATTTGAAAACTGTTCTGGGAATTGTTTTGGTGAAAAGCACAATATAATTGTTCCAAAACAAACAAAGACAGTTTGAAAAAACATAAATGGCATGTTCAACTACAGCATACTACTAGGTTTTATAAAAAATACTTTAACTATACACCAAATTACATGGGAGTAAATCTCAATGAATCTAATGGAAATTATTTCTCCTTAGGCATGTAGAGGAATACAGTAAAAAGTAGATGTGTGAATCAGTGACTTAAATGCTTCTGTTCAGTATCAATTGCCAACAGGATAGATTCTAGTATGATTTTAATATTCTTTACATAGCAGGTTAGCCTATTTTCATTTTATACAAAAGACCAAGAAATTCTGATTTCAGCAAGCTTTCAATTATTTTACATTTGAATTCTGCTCCTGAATATTAGTTTTTTAAAAACACATCCATTCTTTTAACTATTTATTAATTGTTTATGCCACCCGTCTCCCCTACCCAGCTCATCAAATCCATAAATGCTAGTTAAAATCTATGAGAACTAGTGGCATCTGAACAACTCATAATGTCAAATGGTAACACCAAAACACTTGATGCAAGTAAGCTGCATCATTTATGTGAAGATGTTATGACATTCAGATTAATATTTGTACACCTTGTCTCTCTTGTCTATGCCTGTGAACATAGTGTAGTCTTCCTGTAGATCTCATTCTGTTCTATCTTCTCATCTGAAGGCACCTTTGAGATTGTCTATAGTAATATTTAGTTTGCCCCCCAAACTCAGTATGTCTTTTAATATTAGCTGTTGAGAACATATATGGAAGGCTGCTATTGTCCTCATATTGTGCTGGTGAGTTTTTTGCAAAATAGCATTGTCTTGAAGAACACCAATAGTGCCATTGCTAGATAATGTATATGCAAATGGGGTAGTTAACTATTTATTCAATTTTGGAAAAAGCTCTAATTTGAGGTTCTATGCAGTATAGTGTCAATTTAAACGAATGCAAGGCGTTGTTCTTAAATATTATTATGCAATATTATTGTGAACTGTTTTTCCTGGAAAAGCCTCATTTGACAGGACATCTGAAGAAAAATATTACTTATTACTTGACATTTCACTTACTAACGTTCTGTGAAATAAATATTATCTTGGAGAT